GCGCTCGGCCATGCCGTTTGTCTGTGGCCGACGTGGCGCGCTGGCTTCATGGCGCCATCCCAACCGTGGATGCCTGGCTGGGCATCCATGATAGCGCCCGTAAACTTGCCCAGCGCGACGAGAGCGCACTTGTCGCCGCACTCTGTCGGCAGCCTCGTCCGCGCCAACAAAGATGCGGTCTGCAGTCAGAGCCTCGCCGAATCGCCGCGGCACAAAGGCTTAAACTGAACGTCGTCGGCGGTAGGGCCACGTGGTGGATTCGGGCGGCGCCGTCGTCGACGCGGCGCGCTGCGTGCCAGGATCCGCGCGCGAATCTCACAATCTGGATGCTTCGGAGCATGTGTGATGTAGTGCGAAGGGTCGATGGGAAGACGTGGTCTGCCTGGCAACGCAGGTGCGGCCGCCTGCTCAGCCGTCGGAACCTGGGGGTGGTCGCGCGCAGTTGTCTGCAGCGTCGGCGCTGGTGTAGCCACCGGGGCTGCCGGCGCGGCCGCCAGGAAAGTTGGGCCCCCCCGCGCAGTGGGCGCCAATGACGAAGATCTAGGGCATCACGATGCGGGAAGTGACATACACAAGTACGGAGGCGGAATCTTCTGCAGACTGTGAGCATCGAGCTCTGGGATTCGGTTGTTGACGCGAACTCTGGACCATTGGCCGCGAGGGTCTTGTAGTAGGTACCAAGAGCAGGATCCCAAAGTTGTCTGAAACAATCTCCCTGAACCAATTGTCCCACTGATAGCGCCGATGGGCAATCCGTCATAGCTAGGGCAAGACTGGAGACAACAATCTGCGGCAGCTTGAGCTCGATATGCTCGTTGATGACCCGGTCGCCGCCGGCAGTCTCGAGGGTGCGTTCGCGCCCGCGCCGCGCCCGGGTAGTCTCGCGCGGTAGTGGGCCAGACTTGTCTTGGATATGATGGGCAGAGCCACTGTCCACAATCCCTGCGCGCGAGGGCGCTGCCATGGGCCGTGGGGGCGTCGATGCGGGCGTTGCCGCCGACGCGGTGGCTGTTGTAGGCGGCGTGGTGGTATCGTCGCACAACCGCTGGGCGCCCTCATGCGCGGCGCGGCACGCGCGCGTGCTGGCCTGTAACCACCAGTCTGGAACGACATCAGGAACGTCGATCTTGTCACCTCTGCAGCATGATGATTCCGTCCATTTGTACATTTTGCGTTTTGCCGCGTGCGTAGAAAATGTCCGCGTTGTCAGGGTCAAACCTGATCTCCCGCTTCGCTGAGTCAGACAGGATCAGAGTCCGTTCGCGCGGGGCAGCGGCGCGGCCACGTCGTCGATCGCAGCGGCCCGGGGCAGGTGACCGAACGCGATGGCGTGTAGAAGGTGAGCGACTATGGTGTCCAGATGAGGAACGGCCGCTCGTCCTGTCGCTCCTGGTAGGAGAGCGGCCGCGGGAAAAATGCCGGTGGGACGTCCTAGACGTTGAACGCGAACGTTGCGGAGGCCGTGGCGACCACCCGCGACGCTCGGAAAAGCGAGTTGCGTCGCCTCCCGCGCAGTGGAGACGGCCGCCCTCGCCGTGACCAACGCCTGCCCCCCCGGACTGTGGGGGCGCTGTCGGTTCTTGTAGGGCGACTGACTGCTGCCCCCCGCGCGTCGCGGGGGGGGCGCTCTGTTTCGGCTGTCTTTGCTGCGTTGTCGAACAGGGCTCCAGCCAGGGGTCTCACTGTTGGGATTGATGAGGGCGGTGCGGCGCCGGTCGCCGTGCCAGCAGGTTTGCTTCGGGTCTGCGCAGAAGGCGCAGGCTGTTAGGTGGGGGCACGTGCAGCGATGTTTCTCAGGACAGGATCCAGTCTTGGCGAAAACAAAACATAACTTCTGCCGAGGTTTGTCTGTCGTCGTTGGTCCGGTAGAGCGACCAAAGAGCTGTCGTGATGGTCGCGGGTCGATGATCGCGGGGCCGGTCGAGTAGTCGGGCGACTGCTGGAGCCTGCGCGGGGCATCCTGCGCCTTTCCCCATCCCTGCACCTCCCAGATTTGAACGCTACACATATCACCGAATCGCGTCTGCTCGATGAATTCTTGAGGCTGCGCCGGTTGCGCTCGAGTCGGTCGAGTTCGAGGTTGTCCGGAACTCGTTGCCGAAGCCACTCGTGCGTTAAATTGGGGTCGCTGGGGCCATTTTGTCACAGTCGTGTATATCCTGCTTCGTCGGATAGTGCCGTCGTATCTGAACTCGGAATAGTGGCTCCAATATTTTCGTGTCGGGTGGTTCGCGGCATTCCAATAGTAGATGGTTCCAGTCCACAATGGACCGTCGTACGTCGTCGCCCCGCATGCGTAGTAATTGCAGACGCTCAAAGTCGCGCAGGGCGTCGTCGACTGCAGTGAATTCGTAGGACTGCAGCATCGCCCAGTAAATATTTCTGCCCTCGAGCATGCGGCCGGCCTTGTGCCCCTGAGCCGTGGGGTTTGTGATGCGGCACCGTAGGGCAGCATTCAGAACAGCACTGGGCCCGGCTGCGAGTTGGCAATCGACACTCTCGAAGTCGCCGCTGTCCTGAAGGTCCTCGTAGACCGTTGTTCGTTGTTCTGCGACGCATGGGAATGCGTGGGCAGTGGCAGGGCGCCCAGGAGCACTGCCAAAGTTATTGCGAGCCGTCTGCTGCCACTCTTGTAGTTGTGTAATGCGTGGCAACTGCGGTATACGCACGGTGTCGGAGGTGTGTGATAACGCGTGCGAAAGAACCGGTTGTGCTGGAGATGGAGGTCGCACGAGAGAAACGCGACGCGTCTGAGTAGAGGCCGCGGCTGACGCGGCACCTGGCGAGGTGCGTCGCGCATGGCCTGTGCAGATGTCACCCTCGGCGTGCGTAGGAGAGCGTCGACGGTCTGGAGGTTTGGTGGAACTCGGCGTTGCTGACGCGCGAGGTCAGTGTAGCTTCGTTGGTCGCAGCGCTGTGCTGCGTCTGTTGGGCATTCTGTTGAAGACCACGTAGCTCGACGTTGGTATCGTGGGTCCTCCGGGAGTGCCTGCCCAGCCCGCGTTCAAGGTCTCGGAGTCGTTGGCTGTGTGCTTCGCACTCCTGTTCCAAAAGGGGTAGGATTGAGTCGGCCAGTTTTTTTTGCTTGGTTGTTTCTTCTTCATCGTCTCTTTCCTGGGATATCTGGGAGTCGCAGCTGCGCGTGGTCCGCCGCCTGCTGCGCGTCGGCCGCGCGGGCGTCGAGGCGAAATCGGAAACCGAAGTCCGGGTGCCCAGCTGATCCGTCTGGGTCCGCACAGCACGCAGCTGAGCCAGCGCAGTCCGTAGTTCGGGGATCTGCTGCTCGACATGGGAGACTAGGTTTGCGAGCGTTGGCGCACGTACTTCGAGGGCTTCAACACGGTGAGTGAGGGCCGTCTCGGCACCGCGCAGCTTGCCATCTAACTCGGATGCGAGAGTGGCGCGGGAAGAGTGTATCGTAGCAGCGCGCTGGTGGACCTGGGTGCGAAACGCATCCAGGTCCTCGCGCATCTGGGAACCCGTAATTCCACGTACCTCCATGGGTGGGGTCTGTCGCACCATCAGGAACTCATCGTGTAATGTCCTGGCAGCAGCAGTCCTGGTACCTTTGACGGTCACAAGTTGCGCCTCAACCCGTAGGACGTACTCGTGAAGCGTCTGGATTGTTCTGGAGTCGGCACCTCGGTGTGACTCCGTGTGGCCGGCTTGGGATTGGACCTGAGAGATGATCGAGCGATCCTCGGCAACCCCAGCATCGACCAAGGCAAGAACATGTTGACCTCCTGTCTGAATGTGGCCGTCTGAACGGCCAGACCCGATAGCTGTTGGGTCGTGCATGGTTCAACCTGGTCTCGGAACTCTGCCACATCACCGGCAGTAGGCGAGGATTGCGCAGCAAGGTTGCGCTGCTGAGAGCCTTGCTGGGGGCGCCGTTGTGAGGGGTTGCGGCTGGCGCCTCGAATAGGAGAACGAATGTGGTACCTTTTCCAGGAACCTATCGCTGAGACGTCCGTCCAATGGGATTCTTGATGGCCAGCGCATGTTCTGAAACGGAGACGTTTGTTGGAGAGGGAACCTTGGCCCAGCGGCGGCTGCGAGCGAGGGCCATGTCAGGGGACATGTTCGCGGTGCGATGGCCGCCGCGCGCGTGGCCACCGACACAGGTGTCAGCGAAAGTGGGTGGGGAGGCAGTAGGCGTAGTGAGGCCAGTGCCGGCCCCGATGACAGACGTGACAACTGCGGGCGTGGCCACCGACGGAAATGATCGATCAGGCTCCGCGAGAGGCGAATCCAGCCGTTGTCGCGAAGGTCCAGGCGCTTGAGCACGCGGGGGCGGCGGTTCCCCGAGAGCCGCCGCGAAAAACGCAGCACTGCCATCACCTGCGAGGGGGCAAATTGGTATCACAGTTTCTCGTGCCCTCTCCATGATGCCGTCGCTAGCATGCGCCGTCGAAGAGATCGCACGCTTGCGGGCAGCACAACGGAATTGCGACGCCAAGCGGCGGAACCCAAGATGACGCGAATTTCAACAGCAAAGAGCGGTGAAGAAAAGGCTGATAACCTGTGTGTGTACAGGGAGACGGCCGAGGGGCCGCTCCTGTACGGGGTCCTTAGGGAGAAGCAAGGAGGACGACTCCTTTTCAAAGGCACTGCGGCACTGCGCAGCATTCAGTGCTCTGTGGTAAATAAGCCAATACATGAACCAATACAGTTGCGGAAGGGATGCGATAGGGAAGTGAGCGGACTTCGCACACATAATAAGCCGGATTCAGCTTGTCACACCGACGCTGCGGCCCACCAGCGTGACGGAGCCTGTGAAACGTCGGACAGGAGGAAGAGGCGAAGGATGGCGGGACGGAGGATGAGAACCAGAAGGGTGAGGAGGGATGTGGGGGGCCCAAGCCTGCATCGCTCATCGTCGTCGCCCTCCTGCCGACAAGAGGAGGAGGAAGAGGATGAGGAGGAGGAGGAGGAAGAGGAGGAGAAAGCGGAGGAGGAGCAGGAGGAGAAGGAGGAGGAGGGGGAGGAAGAGGGGGAGCAGCAGGAGGAGGAGGAGGAGGAGAAAGGGAAGGAAAAGGGGAAGGAGGGGGAGGAGGGGGAGGGGAAGGAGGTGAAGGGTCCTCGGCCATCGTGTCCATCCCAGCGGACGGTCCCGCCCCGTCCAGGGGCTTCATGGAGGATCTCAGCCGTCACAGGCGGCCGCGCGAGTGGAGGAGAGGCGAGGGCATGGGAGAGGAGTGGGGAGCGGGGGGGGGGGGACGGAAGGGGGAGGAGAGGGGAACGGAGCAGACGGGGGAGGGGAGGGGAATGGGGAGGGATGGAGTCGGGTCGGAGGGGGGAGGGGAGCAGACGGGAGAGGGGAGCAGACGTAGGAGTGGGAGAGGGAGAGAGACACCTTTGAGGGAGGAGGGAAGAGAGAGGAGTGGAGACACCCTCGGAGAGAATGGAATGCCCGAAGCGGGAGTGCACAGCAGTAAAACCATCAAAGTGGCGTTCACTCGCGTGGCAAAACAAAAGTGAAAGCGCAAGTTGGAGGAGGGGAGCTCCGACCCTGGAGGTAGGAAACAGATACCCAGAGCCCGTCTGGACCCACCTTACCTAAGACTCCAGTGAGGCCATCACCGAGGGGCGGGGATGGGAGGGGAGGGAAGAGGGAGACACCCCCGAGGGAAGAGGTCGGTTTGTCAGTAGCCTGGGTGGGCGCCGAATGGGGCCGCGCGCACGGTCGTTGGGAGGAGAGGAGTTGAAGGAGAGGAGGGAAGCGAAAAAGAAGCGAGGAAAACAGACTCCGGGGGGAGGAGGGAGGAGGGTGAAGAACACCTCGGGAGGGAGTTGGGGAGAAGGCTTGGAGAAGCACACTCTGAAGACTCCTTTGAGCTATCTCCAGCTCATCCAGAGTCCACAGAAGGCCATCTAAAACCGAACATGACCGAAGGTACAAAGCGCTAGAGCTTAAAGGCTTCGACATGTTCAGTGATGTTTGCCGATCGGGTGGGGATGGCCCAGGGTGTTACATGGCGCTCTGTTGAGCTCTACGCCGGCTGGAGATCCTGGGACGTCCTGTGGGGGTCCCAGAGGGAGAAAATCCTCTCCCAATCTTCCCATCCTTCCCGCCTTCCTGCCTCTCCCTCCTTCCTTTTGAGCAGGGACCGACCGTCCCGGCATTCCTATAGGGCTACCACGACATGTTCTCAGAACCCAGAAATGTTCGAAGAACAAGAACGATGTTCTTAGAGCATGAACACGATGTGTCAAAACAAGACGGTCCCAGCCAGAATTGTTGTAAGAACATCTCGTGCAGACCACAAAGGGTTATCAGAACATTATTTAATGGGCCTATCGTCGGGGAGACGTAAGACTCGGGTACGGGGGGCTCGGGTTGGCCTGACGGGGACCATCATAAAAAAAACAGCGCGGCACACTATGAAATTTAGCGCGGGTTCCCGCTGCAAACATCCCACGAAAACGGGATAGTCACGATCCAGGACGCGCTCGTCAAAAAAGCAAAGGCGAATCCTAGTTCCGGCTTACTCGAGTCTTACGCTTCTCCGATACAAGCGCCCCAGGACGCTTCGCCACCGCTTGACTCCTGGCTGGACGGGCTGGTCACCTCCCTTCCCTTCGCCCGCCCTCTCCGCCCTACCCTCGCCCCCGCCGCTCACTATCTTCCATCCCCCATCCCCCTCCATCCCTGCGTCCCTCCCTCCCTCCCCTCCCTCCTCGCTCCCTCCCTGTTCCCTCCCCTCCACCTCCCCTCCTCCCTCCTCGCCCCCTCCCAATTCGCTCCCCTCTTCCCCCCCTCTTCCCTCCTCCCTCCCCCTCCTCGCTCCCTCCCTCTTCCCTCCCTCCTCCCCTTCTCCCTCCCTCCTCCTCCCTCCCCTCCTCCCTCCCTCCCTCCCCTCCTCCCTCGTCCTCCCCTCCTCCCTCCCTCCCTGCCTTCCTCCCTGGTCTCATCGCTGCGCGCACGGAGGCACTGTGGCGCGGCCGAGTGCCTGGCCCCCGTAGCCTCCCACACGGCAGGGCTGCCCGGCCCCGCGAAGGACCGCGCTGCCTCGGATACTGCTGCTTACGGATGCTCCCGCCGCGCGGGGACACACGGACGGTGTGGCGGCCAGCTCGCTGCGCCGGCCGCGCCGCGCGCCTGCCTCGACGCATGCCATCGCACGCCTCCACGTCCATGCCTCCTTCCGCCCCCCTCTCCCCCGATGCTCGCTCATGCCATCCCGTCACCTCCTCCCCCCCTCCTCCCTCCCCAGGCCCTCCTCCCTCCCGCACCCTTCTCCTGCAAGGGATGAGGAAAAGGGCAACAAACGCTGCAGAAGGGACCCCTTCCCTCCATCCATCCCTGTTCCCTCCCTCCCTCCCTCCCTCCCTCTTTCCTCCTCCTCCTCATTCTCCTCCTTCTCCTCCTCCCCCTGCTCCGTAAGCGGCCGCCGCCGAGGCCCCGACGCCCCGCGGCTCACGTGCGACAGCTTCTTGTCGAAGTCGCCCTGCATGTTCGACAGCTGGGCTGTCAGCTGGGCCTCGAAATCCTGCAACCTGCGGTCACGCACAACATCCGCTTCCGGAAAGCAGCGGCAGCGCCGACGATGCCGACGACGAACACAGCTTCAAGCCGCGAGCCTCGACGACGACGCAGGCGACGATGTCGACGTGGGCGACGGTGGCCACGTCCAGCGGCGGCCAACGCGCATTGGCAGCGGCAGCGCTGGCACCAGCTGCTGCGGCGGCAACGGCCGCAGCGGCAGCAGCAGCAGCAACAGCTGCGGCGGCGTGCCGAGATTGACGGGGAGATTGGGCGGGGCGGCAAGCGTGGAGGCTGCCTGCTTGTCCAGAGATGGTGGGTAGATGAAATGGAGGAGCACGGGAAAGAGCATGGCCCCGCCGAAAAACGGAGGAGACAGGGGGAGAAGGAAAAGGAGGGGAAGGATCGGCAGCGGCACGGAAGAGAAACAACAAAGAGAGCACGCAAACGAGGACAAGTAAGAGGACAAGGAGGATGGAAAAAACATGGGCGGGAAGGGGGAATCACAAAAAACAAAGGAGAAGGTCAGGAGCAAGGGCGAGCGACGATGGAGCCCAGGGAAAGACAGTGAGAGGGAGGACGAACATGGTTTCAACGCCCATATTGGAATCCATCAGCGCCAGACTCCTCCTCATTATCTATATGGTCGCGTTCGTGTTCGTCCCGGTCCTTGTCGCACTCGTGGTCTTCCTCGTCCTCGCCTTCATCCTCATCCTCCCCCTTTGAGAACTAGGCGGGGGCATCTTGCTCAAGGAAATTGTCAGCTAAACCACATGTCATTAACAATGGTTCGTGACTGGTGGCTCGGCAATGCTAGGACAATGGCGACACTAACGCTTGAGAGGGAGACGAAAGGCAACGCTCTTTACTCAGTCGGTCGGCCATGTTCAACCGCCCCCCCTCGGCCAATTTGGGTCGACTGAGGCGACGGCTGAATAAATAATATAAAGCGAACTGAATATGAGCTGACCGCATGGCGCAGGCATGTGCACAATATAAAACAATCGAGACCTTATGACTGCTGAAACAATCTCTAGAAGACGCCCTGCAGTGACTCCCAACACGCACACGACCTGGGGGCATTGCTGATGCACATAGAAGGCGACGATGCCTTTGGAGTAAACGAGCGGGGGGGGGTCCAAACACGCGACGCACGATTTGAAGTGTCGCAGAGCGACATGTTATTCAGAATGGCTCGCATCCTCTGTATCTTGGGCTGGCCTGGAAACTGTTGGGGCCCTCTGCGGAATGGTCTTGGAACTCGCGCCAAAGATCTGGAAAATGCCCGGGGCCATCGCGGCGGCCTCCGGGGCCCGGGACGCCGAAAGCTTGTAAAAGAACGCAGCGAAAATGATCCCTGGTACTCCCATGGGTGCAGGCAGCTGCTTTCGGGCCCCAGGCCTGCCCCCCCGGAATCTATATATATATATATATACGTATATATGTGTATATATAGTACAAACGCATATCTACACGTGTGTATATATATATATGTATTTATATTGCGCGTGTCCGTATCAGGCAATGCGCGCGTGCGCATTCGTGCGTGTGTGCGCATGCGTGCGTGCGTGTGTGTGTGTGTGTGTATGTGTATGTGTGTGTATGTGTGTGTGTGTGTGTGTGCGTGCGTGCGTGCGTGCGTGCGTGCGTGCGTGCGTGCGCGCGTGCGCGCGTGCGCGCGTGCGCGCGTGCGTGCGTGCGTGCGTGCGTGCGCGCGTGTGTGCGTGTTTTTGTTTGTTGTGTGTGTTTGTGCGTGTGTGCGCGTGCGTGTGTGCGTGCGTGCGTGCGTGCGCGTGTGCGTGCGCGCGAGACGCTCGAACGGTCGCCGTCGCCGTCGCCGATGGACGCTCGTCGCCGCCCCGCCGCCGCCAAGCCTCGCCTGTATGATGCGTATACGCATGCATACACGCGCGCGCACATGCCGCCCCCGAGAGATGGACCCGCTCGCAGTCGGTCCGCCACGCCAACCGCCGCGCAGGAGCGGCGCTGGCATCGCTTCCAATACAAAGAGTCTAAGCGGAAACCTCACAGAGACTCCGAGATCTCCTTGCCCCTCCGCTTGCAGGCGACTCGGTTGAAGCCGGAGAGCCGCTCGCCCCGCCAAGGGGGCGCAGGGCGCTTCAGAATGTGTTCCTGGCTCGCGCGTTTAATTTCAAGTTTCCTGATGGCGGAGGTCTGCGCAGGCAGCGGCATTTTCTGTCGCGCAGCAACTTCGCGAGCTTCCCCGTTGCCTCTATCTTCTTGTCCCGGCTGTACTTGTCTCGCAGCCGATAGGGCGCGCCTGGTGCTTGTTGCCGAAAGCTCTCATCGCGGCGCTCTGCTGCGAATTCTCGCGCCACGTCACAGCGCGCTTTCGCGCAAGGGCCGTCGCTGCCGCGGGCTTGAGCATGACCGCGGGCCCCTCATCCACCGCCTCCCCCTCGTCGACCGCGTCGGGCTAGTGCCCCCCCCCCCTCGCCGTCGTCGGCCTCCTCGTCGGGGAACTCCTCCATGCGCCAAGTCCCCAGGGCAGCTGCAGGCCTCTTCGCCGCCTTCATCGTCGCCCTTGCCCCGCGGCTTCTTCTTAGCCACGCTTCGCACATGGCACTCGGCACCTCTGTCTCCTGCCCCTTGTCGTCGCCGACGGTGGCCGCGCGCGCGCCGTCGGGCCCTGGCCCCATCATGCGCCCCGCGGCCGTCGCGCCGCGCTGCCCCACCAGGAGCGCGCGCTCGTAGTCGACGGAGAAGATCGAGCTTCTGGTTCTCGAGCTGGTCGCTCTTCTTCCCGTGGCCCTTCTTGATCGCAATCGGGGGGCCGGCGGCAGCGCAGGCGGCTCGAGGCGACGGGCCGACGCTGATGGTGTCGCTGATCTGTCGCTGCAAGAGTTTCTCCCTTGGGCCCAGTGGGATGCCCGCGGGGGGCTTCGGGCGGCACGCCTCCTAGATCGATCCTGGGCTCAGCCGAGGCAGAGGTGCTGGCAGCTCGCGCATGGGATCTGCTCCTAGGGCTGCTGCTCGGGGCCCTCGTCTTCCCCTTGCCGCCGCTGCCTGGCCCCGCCCTTCCAATCGAGCCGACCTGCTGCGCTGCGGGGTGCAACTTCGATCCGCCCGTGGCGTTTCTGGACCTCCTGAGGGCGTGCGAGAGCGCAGCCGAAATCTGTCTCGCATGCGTGCGGGCGTCATCGCTGGGCACGCCGTGTTTGTTGATGATCGCATCTCGTACTTGCGGCTCAGAAATCCGCTTGGCGAGCTGAATGGCGCCGCCCAATAACGCCATGATGTTGACGACCAAGTCGCCCATGTCGGATTGGTAGATGCTGAATCTCCTTCTGGCATGACTTCACCAAATGTTCCATGCTCTCCACCGAAGCCGCGTTCTCCACCCGCTCCTCGGTCATGATATGCCACAACAAATATCACGATCGAACCAAAACGGGTTCGGATCGCTCGAACCCCATCTTGCGCCCTCCTCCTTCGTCTGTTCCCTCCAGTGCAGGAGGTATAGCCACATGTTGGAAAAGCTTGTCAGCTGTAATTAAGAAACAGCTGTCAGCGCAAATTAGGTAAAGACTCACATTCCGAGTTAGAGCTGGTTGGACCCTCAAGGTCAGCTCTGGGAGATAATTCTTCTAGCTCCCCCACCGGCGGCCCCGCGGGCATAGCGGGAGATAGCTTGAATATGGTTTTCTCCGCCCCCCCCATCCGGCCTCGCCGGCGCTGTTTGCAAATCTGGGCTCGGGCCGCGGACCGGCCGCGCCGGCCCTCGCGGGCCCCCAGCCCGCCGGGGGCCCCCCCCGCCAGCCGCTGCCATGGAAAACGCACTTAGAAATCTACGCAGGCTGCTCACTTCCCCCGCGGCAACTGCATTCGGAGGGGCCGCGCGGCGTCTAAAATCCCCCCCTGAACCGCGTGAGTTTCACACCTATATATATATATATGTGTATATATATATATATATACGCACTGGAACCATCGCGCGCGCTTCGCGCGCGCTCAGGTTCTAGCAGGCCCCAGGCCTTGACGAGTTCACTGCTCCACTGAAATAGTGGACTACAGTCCACGCGTGCCAATCTGCCGCCCCAACGGCCTGCGAGAAAAATGGTTGTGTAAAGGGGGCGGCGGCCGTATGAATCGGGTTCCCAGCAGGCCTTCTGGAAGCGTGGGTTTGGGGGTCGTCTTGGGGAGCCTGTTGGGGCGTGCCGTCGTCGTCGTCGTCGTCGTCGCAATGTCGTCGTCGCCTATTGGGGCGCGCCGTCGTCGTCGTCGTCGTCGTCGTCGTCGTCATCATCGTCGTCGTCGTATCCGTCGTTTCGTCGTCGTTGTCAGTTCAAGAGGGCACTTGGGGCAACTTTGTGCGAGACGATCTGCGGAGGGCCGCGAGAAAGCGATCAGTCATGTTCCCAATCAACTTCCCAGACAGCTCTCCTGTAGCAGGATGGTACTTCGAAGCCTCTGGAGACTCGCAGGCCCATGATGAAGCATGACCCCGGAAGGCCTTCTGGGGACATGGTTACTCAGGGTGTGTTGGGGGATCTCTTGGCCGTTCCCTGGGGGCCCCATTGGGGGCCTCCGGGAACTCTCGGGCCCATGATGAACCGTGTCCCCGGAAGGTTTTCTGGGGACGTGATTTCTTGGGGTGTGTTGGGGGGCCTCTTGGGCGATCCCTGTGAGCCCCTTGGGGGTCTCTTGGGGCTTCCTGGGGGCCTCTCGGCCGCCTCGCGGGGCTCCGCGGGGGCCTCTCGGTGGCCTCCGGGGGCCCACAGGCGGCCTAGGGCCAGAGACCTCGAAATATCGGTTGGAGGTTCCCCTCTGGGCCCTCTCTTGGGGAGCTCTTGGGGCACAATTGGGCTGTCTGGGGAGCCTCCTGGGCCGTCTTGGGGCCCTCGTCGGGGCCTCGTGGCCCGTCTTGGAGCGATCTGAAGGGCCCCCGAGCAAGGCCGTGAGGGAGCGCTGGGAAGCGGGGAAAGCGAGAACGCCTAAATCTTTCAAAAACCATCGGACAATCAGTGAATCTTGCCTCCCAGGGCCCTCTTGG